CCAGCGGCCAGGCAGGGGCTGGTCCGTGTCCAGCCAGTCGGTCCAGCGGCATGTTGGCTGGCAGCTGGTCGTTGCTGTGGTTCGGGCTGTGTGGGGGGTGGTAGGACTGGAGGCTGTTGGGGAGAGCGGCCCTGGGCTGGACCCCGGGAGAGTCACTGTGGTGGTGGCCGGGGTGCTGGGGCAGTGGCGGTAGTCGTCACAGCAGAGCACACGGACTTGGTAGTTGAGGCACACCTTGAACCAGCTGTCCTGGTCGCCGTTTCGGCACACCAGGCCCTCCTCCAGCCTGCAGCGCACCACCTGGCCCAGCTGCTCCAGGGGCACGTCAGGCAGCGACGAGGCCCGGCACTCCAGGCCCTCGGGCCGCTCGCAGACGGGCTGGCCAGATGCCTGCATGTTGGCGTAGGTCTCAAAGTCCCCTCCGGAGGCCCCGGGCATGGGGTAGCTCTGGTCCAGCCAGTCGGTCCAGGCACAGCGAGGCTGACAGGCAGTGGGCGTGGCCACTGAGGTCGTGGTGCTGAAGGTCGTGATGGGAGAGGTCGGAGCCTTCATCGTGGAGCCTGTAGCCATGGGGACGGCTGTAGAAGGGCCCGGCGTGGTGCCCGGCAGGGAGCTGGTGGTCACGGGAATGGGGGGCGATGGGGAGGGTCTGGTGCTGGCCCCTGGGCTGGAGGTGGCCCTGGTGGTGCTGATCACAGTGCTGGTGCGTCTGGGCAGGGTCTCCCAGGGCCTGGTGGTGGACTCTCTGGCCTGGGAAGGTCCAGGGGCCGCTCGCAGACGCGCCCGCCGGCCTCCCGGATGTTGGCGTAGGTCTCAAAGTCGCCGCCATTGGGGCCCAGAGAGGGATAGTCCACGTCGAACCAGTCTGTCCAGGTGCACTGTGGCGTGCAGGGCCCAGAGGTCGGGAACGTTGGGGTAGGCGAGACGGAGCTGGGCTTCCAGGAGCTGGAGGGCAGGGAGGTCCCTAAGGTGGGGCTGGTGGCCGAGGACTCAGGTGTGGTCTTTATGGGGGAGGTGGCCAGGGTGGCTGTGTGGGGGGCGCTGGACGAGGCAGGCCCGGCTGTCGTGGT